TGAATTCACATTGGGTCATTCCAGAAAAGATCCATACTACCCCCATGGAGGAAATAGTAATAAAAATAGTAAGTGTATTAGGAAATCTAAAAGGGGCAGGGGGTTAACTGACAATTTCCTCTGTGGGGGAGGTTCACATGTTTTCTGGTATGGGCTTATGGCCCATTAGGAATGGATTTTATTAGGATTTGCACACTTATACATAAATACACAAAATACATTATAAGCGTTTATATGAAAATAATACTAATAGTTCTTGCACAGTGACTCAGTTGACTTAATTTAATCTCTGCTCAATCATAACTGTAATCTTAATCCTAAACCTAACCTTAATCCTTTGGCTAATCCTTCCATCTTTACCAGTAAGCCACGAGTTGTGTCACGAGACCTATTTAGTAAGCTGATGAATGTGGGCGTTTGTAATCGTTGAATTCCAACTTGGTTTGTCTTCATTTCTAATAGCATTTCGTATTGATGTTTGCGTCGTTAATCCTTGGTATCTTGGCCTAGTCATGTAGTAAGAATATGTCTTTCAAGATTTGAATAAGGTGCGAAATGGGTAATACTTGCATGTAATAAATGTCGCGTCACAGAATATGGATCTTTATTCTGTGGTTGCGTGATAATATACAGTACATCACACAGCTATGTCGTAGTCTATAATTATTAATTGATACTGAATATTGGGTTTTGAAGTAGTGTAAATATGAATATTTGTAACAGAAAAAAAATGGAATGAATATCCCCCTCATATAAACACATGTCTTAATTATCTTATTCTGCCTTTTACAAATACAATCATGTGAGTTCATGTCAGCCCTATAATTATTCTACATTATTTTGTGAAATATTGCATACAGTGCTGAATAAACATATTGAAATTACCAGTTTGTATCGATAATTTGGTATCTGGATATATTGGACTTGGCCATCCCTATAGTATGGCATGCAGTTACTATTAACCCATTATCGTCAATTCAGCAATGTGCCCCTCAGCCTCTCATCTACATCAAGATTCTATGGCACAATTGTCAGAGCAAGTGCCTTAATTTCACATCTGAGATTGTGGTTTCGATCCTTACTGCAGATACATGACACTTGTTACATGAAAAGAGGCAGTCAACGCTCTACCGAAAATCATGGATTTTATCTGGGTACTCTGGTTTCACACTGGAATGTTGACAGTGTGGGTAAATTGGGGTTACTGAGGATTAGCCCCTAACTAATCTTCCACCATAGCTGTACTCTGTGATCATGAAGACACAAGTCATAAGGTGGCTGCCAGAGGCACCCTTCGAGCTCTGACTCAATCAAGTTGTGTTGTGTCCCTCGTAATTCAGCTAAGCTTTCAGCTGCAAGTAAGGGTGATCAGCACACCCTCGCTTATTTACTACATATTATTTAACATGAGATGAAAGACAGCAGGTCTGGAGTAAAATATTGAGGAGCACAAATGAGGCCTGCTACTAGGTCAATTGTAGATCTAAGTATTTATGTAAAATCAATTTAGTTGATTGAATTAAGCCATTGAGCATAATTGTTCTCCCCTGACAAGTAAAATAGTCTGGTGTACCATGTATGTTAGACAAAGTAAAATAATCTGGCGTTAGACAGAGTAAAATAATCTGGCGCTAGACAGAGTAAAATTGTCTGGCGTTAGACAGAGTAAAATAATCTGGTGTTAGACAGAGTAAAATAATCTGGTGTTAGACAGAGTAAAATAATCTGGTGTTAGACAGTGTAAAATAATGTGATGTTAGACAGAGTAAAATAATGTGGTGTTAGACAAGTCAGGTGTATTAGGACACAATGCAACTAGAAGTAAAAACTAAATATCACAAGTACCATATGTAGATTTGATGACGTCAGATGTTTTATTTATCTCCCAGCTTTTTGCCACATCTTCAATTTTTTATGTCTGCCAGGATTTGTATATTCTTGGGGGTTGCAGGTTTGTGAGTGATCAGAGACAGGGCCTGAAATCCCTTAAACTGGTATCCTGCATCGGCACACAAAAGAACTAGTCTTCTACATTCGGATAATAGACGTATTCCAGTTAGCAGTATCAGGACATTGAAGCAAACAGAAAACCTGTGGAGGAAAGAATTCCAGTGGATAATTATTTAGTTTTGATATTGTGAGCTGATCCAAATGTAAAATCAGGTATCCTGTGGATATATATTGATACGTACTGAAAATTCCCTGAAACAGGTGAAACTGTTACCTATAGCTACTACCATAATATTGGATGTGATGCTGCACTGGATACTTAGGTGTGATGCCTGTACTAAGTTCAATCAGGTGATTCAAAACCTGGACGTTATTTACAGAAAAGTCAAAATAAATAGAACATGATCATTGTACAATTTATTGGCATGCCCTCATCCACAAATTTGTGTTTTCTATATGATCTTTGGACCGCCATTTCCTGGGATATATTTGTTTCTTAGCTCTGTACGTCGATCCATTCCCCCAAACAATTTTTCATCGGATTTGGAGGAATTAGAAACAACTACGGAACATGCAGTCATATTTCTTGCACTGGAAGATGCCGAATCTGATCAATAAAATAATTTTCCAGAAATACTGTGAGATTTGTAAGTCCACCTGTGAGACGCGGCTCGAGTTCATCCCCAAAACATGCACACATGAGTCACTCATGAGTGAACCTTGAGACTTGGCAGCTCCGCTTTATTCTAGTCTCCTTCAAGATAGAAGCTATAATCCAGTGGCTTATGCATCAAGATCTGTAAACCAGCTGATATCCAATCATTCCAGTGGGCACCATATCACCTGGGGACGAGGATGATAAGATTGGGCACAAATTAAGAACATGTACTGCGTATAGTATTATAGAAAGGTTTTGAAGAGGATCGATGTGTATGACAGAAAAGTGG